ATCGGCATGTATGTCGTATATGGTAAAAATTTCAAGTCAAGAAAATTGAAGATAACAATACTTTGGTGTGCTTAACTCGTTTGCGGGCCAATAAAAATCTATAATATTAAAGTAACCAAGGTTAATATACTAATTAGGCCCGACGGTCAAAAGAAGGCGTATCTGCATTTGGCATATGACTATGACACGTTGGATATTGCTGATAAAATCGGCATCATATAGACTCTGCGTTTCTTTCCTTTTTTTTTTAAATATATGCGAAAAATAAAAAAAATAAAAATTTGTTTTGGACACTAATGTTCCGTTGTAATCCAATACATTAGAAAATACGAAACTTTTATTTTATTTGTTCTGCTTAATCTTTTCAGAATTTATATCAGTGGATGTTATGATCCCGGTGAAAGTTATTTTAGGTAAGCCGATTTTTTTCGTTTAACTATTAGTTTTCAAGCATATCAGGCATTAAAAGCTTCACTTTTTATTAGGCTTTGAGGGAATTTGCAAGTTAATAGGTAAATAAGCAAAATATATGTAAAATAAAAACAACGAAAGTTACAAGTTGTTTTTGAGAACTTCTTTTTAAACCGTATTATTTAAAATTTTTCTTTACATTACACGTTTTGAAGTTTTGATTTATAAAATATATATAAATATATTTTCACTTGTATATTATGCCATTTTGCATTTGTATATTACGTTGTTTCACTAACTAATCAAAATACTTATTTATTTTTATGTAAATTGTCCTAATTTTATTTTTTATATGTTGCTTGTTTACTTATTATTTTTATTTTTCAAACGTTTTTTATGGTAAGCTACACAGTCGAGGCTTTTTATATGTACATTATTCCGCTACTGCTTTGCCTTTTAACAGTTTTATATATATTAATAAGGCTATTTTAAATTTATATATAAAGCTCTTATATATAAGTAAAACTATTTATTTAAATATAAATTATATAAATAAATATAAAGCAACAGAAAAAGCCAGTTTCCCAATGACAAATCAAAGCGGTTGAAAAAGTGTTTGTTGCTAAAAGCTCCAACTAGACGGATGCTTTTGTTATATTTTTGGTTATACGTTGCGTTTTGAGATATTGCATGGTGTACTTGTTTCAACAGCATCTTTCTTGGTTTGTAATAAATTTCTATTTCTATTGGGTGTCTCACAGAGTTCACCCTTCTTTCTAAAATTCTTTTTTGGGTTTAATGACAACAAGCGATTTTTACAAAACATCATTGGAACATTTAAAGTCGATTTGCCGCCGTATTTTTCTGGGGTATCTCCTTCTTCTTTCCTGCTTGTTAAAGATGTCTTAAAAGTTTTTTTTCAGACAACATGCTTTGCTTTTTGGAAATAACTTTATTTTTTATACAAAGCAAGTTATTCTCAATATCACCATCGCCTTCACTTTGGTGAAATTCGTTTAGCAGGCCTTCCACGCGTTTTTCCCTTTCTCAGATATGAGCACATTCTTGCCATTAGCCGTTTGGAAACCTATGGGTTTGTCGGCTTGTGCACTGGTCTTTGCCATTTTTTTAAATTTGAATTCCATTCGAAAGTCTGAATCTTTCTTGCCAGTTTCATAGTCTTCTTCGAACATTAGTCTTTTTCTGGTTGCGGTTGTTCTAAACTTGGATTCCATACTTTTATTCGATATCCGAGCTTTTATATCTTTTAATTCAGTTTCATAATCCGTTTCCTGCAAATCGTGTTGAAATTCTCTTAGAATATTTTGTATGGATATTTTGCTTCTTCTGGAGATTTTTTTACCATTCGCTGTTTGAAAATCTGCAGAAATAAAAAAAAAAATTATAACAATAAGCATCGAAAAAGGGTGAGGAATCCATACCTTGGGTTATCTGCTTATTTGCCTGAAACTTAGACATATTGGGAAAGTTTTATTAGTATTACTATTAGTATTATTATTATTATTGATCTTCTCGTTTTGATCTAAGTTTTCTTGTGTGCTAATGGAGGCAAATAAGTCATCGTCATCTTCATCCCAATCATCATTTTTACTTATACCAGTTTTACACTGATTGAAAAATTTTGAATTAATTAAATATTGTCTCTTCAAAAATTTTAAAAACAACTTACTTCTTTGACTTACGTGTACGTGTCGTTTTTCTCGATATCGCCGTAACAACGATCTGAAGTTTTTCCAAAGAAGACTGTACGAAGTTAGAGTTGTTATAAAAAAACGATAAAGAGATTTAATTTCACAAATTAAAAGAAACTTACCAAATCTAACAACGCCCATCGATGCGCATGGGTAATAATCAGATGAGAGGGAATACAAAAATTGTTTTATTGATCTTTTTCGTTTCTGTAATTTTTGTTTTTTTTCTATTTCTAAAATCTTTATTTGCGATAATAATCCGCACATACTTCTTTCACTTTTTATCGCTTAAATTTTTTTTTGAAAAAATGTTTCCAATCAAAAAATTCTTTTTCCTCTGACAAAAAAAAACTTTTTTCTTGTTTTTATTTATTCAATTTTTTTTTTTATATATGCCTATTACAACTAATTAGACTAATGTTGTCCGGACTGTTCAAGTGCACAAAACTTTGCTTTCCATTTTTCATACTCATAGGTAGGCATCGGAATTCTAAAACTATCAATTGACTAATAAAAGTTATTGATTAAATTGAACGGTGTCCTTTTATATATTGTCTGCACTATTGGCACACTCGTCCGTCAAAAACTGACATAAAACTCTAAAAATTATCTTTAAAGGATCTTTGTATCTTATAGGCATTGTGTGTTTATACACATTTATAGGGAATGTTTTCGAGTTTTAAAGGGAATTTTATGAATGTTCTATGAAGAATGTACGTGGAGATTTGTTTGATGAAATCTTCTATGTTCAAAAGTAACGATAGGCAAAAAAATTTATTTGTGTTAAGTTTAAAATAAATCGTTTGCTTTAAAGGGAACCTTCAGAGGTTGATGACAGCTCTGAAGTGTTCCTTTTAAAACACAACTGTTCACAGTGTTTAATAAATAAATGAAAAAATAAAAAAATATAAAGACATGGCAGACAAGGCAATAACATTAGTGTATTAGTGTACAAAATATTACTATTAATTTAGAATTTTACTTCCTATTGTACAAAAATGTTAATTTTTTATATAAATAATTTGAAATTGAAAAAAATTTAATAAGTCGTTTCATTTTTATATTAAAACGAAATATTACATTATATGTATATATATGCGATTTTAAGTGATTTTAACCAATTGTTTTATCATTTATTTATTTTCTTTTCAGGTTATTTATTATTATTATTTTTTCAGGTTCTTTTTATTACTATTATTATTATTATAATTATTATTATAGTTTTATTTCTTTAGTTTATTACTATAGTAATTATATATTTACATTTATTTATATACACATTTATTTCTATACATATTTACTTATTATACATTTATGGCCTTCATACCGAACCCGACTTTCAGCAAACTTTTTAAATATCCGAATTTATGGGGTGTTGACAACAGACGGATAGATTGGGACGTGGAAGCTAGGCAGTTAGCAAAAAAAATTGGACGTCTTGTTACTACAACTTGATGTTCTTCCTCTTTTAACACGTTTTCAAATCCAGATGACTCTCAAACTTCTTCGTGATCTTCCTTTTTGCGATCATTATTATCGCGTATATGTTTAAGTTTAGACATCTGTTAAGCGAGATGACTCTTTCGTATATTGGAATCAACCATAAATATATAATGTAATCTAATCATTAGCTTTAAATTTGCTCTTAGTGTAAATTAAAAGCATTAGGATTGGGAGCACTATTAAATAGAAACTGAAAGCAAAGCCTATTGTTGGTGATCAGGTCGCAACTAATGTGAAATTATCTAATTGTATGCTACTGTAGTGAAAACACTCAAATTTAATATTCTTTAAGTCTTTATTACGAATTTGGTTCTGACCATCACTGAGGTATGGTCAGTATCTTATATAACTAATAATTGTAATGCTAACTTAGCATAATAATACAATTAACTAGTTACGACTAAATTAGGCTAACTTAACTAGGTTACGTGTCGCAATTGAAATGAGAATGTAAACTTAGCAATAGTTAATAAAATTGGAACATAGCGATAATTTGTGTAAAGCGGTAGAGAGCGACAGCCCGATAATGCTACAAGTTTGTACGTACGTAGTACCCAAAAGCACTGTGAAGGTGGATTCACATTTTATATTAAGCTAATTGATTCAAATTGATTTTCTGAAGCAAACTTATGTCTGAAGCTAATTGATTCAAATTGATTGTGGCTTTGTGTTCAATCTACAGCACACCATTTTCATCTGACCACGTTGAGGTGACCGACCATTACACACACCACCACAAGTATAACATTTGTCCATTTTGTGGGGTGAATATGTTGCAATGGATAACCGGGCATATCAAAGTTTTTGCCAAATTTGAAATCTGCAACTTCATTTTTGTAGCCAAAGGAATGGTTGCAACAGACATTACGCAGATGGAGAAATGGACTTACTTATACTTAAATCCATTTGGAATTTGATGCTGATCAAGAATATGTATACTTTGTAGGGTTTTTGAAGCTTCTTTCTGGGCGTTAAGAATGTTTTGACAAAATCATCCGTCGACGATGGGTATAAAAAGAGTGTGTTAAGTTTGCGCGCAAATATGCAACTCCAACAAGGACTCGAGATAGGCCAACCTTTTGTTACACCATAAGATTCGGCATCCTTTCTGATTCACTTTCTAAATCGATTTGAGCTTGTGTGTCCGGTTGTCTGTTTTGTATTCTTAATGCTCGAAAAACAAATTTAAAACAATAATTTTTTAAAAGATTTTGGATTCAGAAAGAAAAAAACAATTTCACTTATTGACCTTTACTTTTATTTATCAAATCTTCATTCATCAGTACTATCAACTGATTAAACATATACGATTTACTTATTACTTTTTCAGATTTGTTTCACAACTGAGTTTGAACATGTTAATACATTAAGAAGTTTCGCATTTATTTATTCAGGAACTTTACTTCTTCTTCTTCTGTTGAGCTTGTTTCTTTAAACGAAAAGCTGTCTTCTGTTTTGCATATTTATTAACTCGATTGAACCATGTCTCATACTTTTCAATTATCTATGAAGCGTAAGCATATGAAATTATAGAGGTATTAACAAGTAGCAATTAATAAAATTCTGCTGTTAATGTCCTGTGAAACTTTTGACAGTTAAATTGCGAACTATATTCCCCCTCATCACACCGCTATTATCCAACAGTACCATAAGTCGTAACATTGTATAAGATTTGTCCGAATTAAGTCTTAACCACACAACGGACATGTTTAACTCGATTGCAACACCAACTCGCGCTAATCCCGACAAAACATTGAAACAGAAAAACAATACTTTCAGTAAAGAAAACTATTGCCAATTCTAGATACTAAAACGTGGAACTAAACCAAAGAAAAATTACATGTCCTTACGGAAATGTTGAGAAGTTTGAAAAATTCTTTTTCTACACGAATTTCACCATTCGTCCATAATGAGAAATTACATTAAAGTACTGTTGAAATATAAAAATAAAAAAGTAATAATGTTGAAAATTACCTTTTCATCGGGAGGAAATAGTGGTTCAGGTCTATCAAAGAAATAATTCATAATTTCAGAAGGTTGCAACGGTTCTCGATGTAAACGCATTCTCCGCTGAACATTCAATGTAGTGTTAATATTGGCGACAACGTCCCCCGTTTGGTAATTACGAAAAACCTTGGTTAGCGCAGTTACCATATAATCTTTAACATCCTCGCCACCAACATTTTGTATCAGATATTCAAGCCATAACAGAAATAATGACCCATACTCGGAACGTGGAATTAACAGCATTCTTTGAAATGCTTTATTAAATTTGCCGCTGGCAACCCATGGTTGGTCAGTCGTTCCCACTATCATAATTCTATCACTTTTCCTAATCGGCTTGAGCAATTTTTTTTGAAAAGGTGCCGCCAAGAGTTGCGGTTTTAAATCTTCTTGTTCCTTAGGTACTTTTCTCCAAAAGACTCGATGAACATCATTAATAAAAATAATAGTTGGTTGAAAAGCTCGCGCAACTTTTATAATTACATGAAGAAAATAATTGATTCTATCGCTATATTTGGCTGTTTTCTCTGGACTCAAATTCATAAGCAGAGCATCTGAATTCAAATCAAATTGCATGTATATATAACTTTATATCTATTAACGCATAAAAAATGAGGGAAATTTCAAATCCCGAAAATTTACCTATTTCAGAAGCAATAATATTAACGAGTAGCTTTTTGCCGTTATTAAATGGTCCAACTATACAAAGCGATTTTGGTTTGTCGACATCCGTCTGTCCCATTCCAAACATACTTTCTTGTATAACAGCTTTAAGATCAGCCTTCGCTGGGCCAATCATACTAGGTTAACAGAATAAAATACAAAAACAATTCAGATAATCATTTTGAAACTGATCTCTTTCTATATATTTCCTTATTACTCACATCAAGCCGTCTTCATCACGTTTATCATCAGCTAAATAATTAAAATCTGCCACAAAAGTATCAAACGTCTTAATCGGATATGACTCAATTATACCATCAGCAGCAAGCTCCTCGTATAACGATTCAATTGTCCGATCGGCTGTCAAGTCTTTACTAATTCGTTTCTTTTTGCGTTTTTTATCCTTCTCTTTAGGCTTCTTACCTTTCGTTGGAACATATTTCTTTTTCCGATCGGCAGCTAAAGCTTTTTGCAGCATTTCGTATTCCAAACTGAAAACGAGAAATAAAACATTATTGTGAATACCCTTACCGAAGCAGCTCTTTCGGCCAAGTAACAAAACTAATAACAATAACAATTACTAATGAGTTTCCATTAGGAACATACATCATATATTCGTCCACCAAAGCTCGTAACTCTTTATGGATAATAGCAAGCTCATTTTCGGTTACCCATTCCTTAATTGCTACTTGATTTTTATTAAGGTATTCATCTATATTTCTCCAATCCACCGAGTACTGTTTCATTAAGGCTTCCATTTCCGCTATTATTATAAAATGGAAAATAACAAAATGAAAAACTAAAAGCATCTGCATACTTACTGATGGCTGGATTGATGGACAAATCATAAGCTATGTCGTAAACCCCCGCGTCCTTCAACTTTTTTCTCTTTTTCGCTTCTTTCATTTTTTCCTTTTTCAGCTTCTCTTTTTCTTTTTGCTTTTGTTGTTTTTCCTTCTCGGCTAGTTTCTTTTTCTCCTCTTTTGATAGATTCGCCCTATCTTTGAACTCTTTAAACTCATCCAGAGTCATCGTTTCGTCTCTTACAAGTAATACAGTGCCGCCTTTCAAAGCGTCTGGATACGGATGGAAATCTTCCAGTTTATCATAACTGTAATTGAAGTCCATTATAGTTACACACAAATATATAAAAAAGAAACATTTCATTTGCTTACAATTCTCGGAACCATGCTCTTATATGATCAGATATATCTTCCATAATCCACGGTGTACGTTCCTGCAACAATCGAGTCCTTTCATTGGTCATTAAAGCGACAAAATCTTCATCCAATTTCTTCTTTCTTATTTCCTTTTGATACATGTCCAATATGGCCTTATTGCGAGCTTTTGGATCCATATGGATTCTGTCTTTTATCATTCCATATAACACCAGTTTGTTTATTTTTTTCTTTTCCACCAAAGTCTTAGCTCTATATGCTCGCCATGCAGATTGAATCACCAACGCAGCAGCTTCTTGCATTCGAGCCATCCTTTGTACTTCTTCGTCTACATGCAATAAAGATCATGTGAAAAGAATGTAGATTTGAAACAGTGACTAAACTTAAGCAATACAAACCGCTAACAGTATTAATCTCAATGGTCTCAGTATCCAACAAGTTACGACATTCTGGTAAAGGTTTCAGAAAATTGGCACTAAAGATTGTTCTCTTAACCGGAATGCTCATTCCTTGATCTTTTTTATGTGTGAATGTATATGGAATCTTGTTTTCTATGCGTATTTTCAAATTTGATTTGTCATATCTTATGGCCGCTCTGTAAACGCGTGCCTGTCTTGCTCTTTCATGGGATTGTATTAATATGAGAGCATTTGATAAAATTTCTTTATCTTTAGCTATCATTCTTTCCATATCATGGGGACTCATAAACAATCGGTTTTCATACATTATGTCTTGCAGATCAGGTGGACGTCGGTATAGAAATTCAGGTGACCGCCATATAAGTAAATCATGCGGAATTAGCTTTCGTTCTATAAGCTCTTTATCAAGATATAAAAATTCACTTAATTCTATTGCTTTCAATTCATTTCGCAACTCTGCCAATCGCTTGGCTGCATCGTCTAATAAACCGCTTATTATTTCACGCTTTTGAACTTGTAACGTACCGGTATACAATCGAGCTAATTTCTCTACCAAATCAGCATACAAAACATACATTTGCATAAATATTTTAAAGGTTATTGGTTTCTCCTCAATCGGATCACGCTGCTTTAAAACATTTTGCCTACGGATGATGTGATCAAGATCTCTTCTCGTTGTTATCCATAACTTATAATTAGTCTGAAACGACATTTTTGCTCGAAACTAAAAATTTACAAATAAATCTTATTGCGAAATATTTTACAATTTTTAAATTTTGTTTTTTTTTTTTTGACAAAATAAAAAACTTATTTAAAATGTATAATCTCAAAATAAAAGCAAATGCATTGCATACCATATCACGATAAACGTATATTTTATGTATATATTAAATTTCATCATACAAAGTTGAAAAAAGGGACGAAACTTTTTTAGAACTTCCTATACATCAAGAGAAATATTATGTAATATCCCACAATAACATATAGTAACGAATAGTAAGCTGTGTGAATTTTTCTTCTTATACTTTAAGGCATAGCATGGAAGGCTGGTAGATCTTCTCTTTTGCCATTGATATTCCGCATTTTTAATGTTATTACAATTATTATTACTTTAAGTTACTTAAAAATTAGAGAATTCGAAAAGGCACAACAATCGCTTCCTTATGATCGATTTTGATGTCTAACAATGCTAAATGCACCTGATGAAGTGATGCGTTCATCTACAGCAATAATAATAATGAAAATAGGATAATAATATGAACATTGCTCGAATCGATCAAATCTTACCTGGATTATATCATCAATTAATACCGGCATAGTGAGACAGATTTCGGGATTTGGAATATCTCTTAAAATTCCTAAAATAAATAATATTACAAATGTATCTAATCAAAAAATACCCGCAGCTTACTGAGTAAGCGATAATTTTTTTTTACTTCTCAAGCTATCAAACTATCACTTAATAAGATGAGAGTTTTCGGCAAGATCGTTTTTATACAGGAATAAAAATGGTAAAAGGCTTTTTCTATATCATGTGATTTAAGTAAAAATTTTCATTGAAGATATAACAAAAATTTAAATTTAACTTTAAACAATGAATTAGTTAATGATAACTAAAGCCTTATAACAGTGTTTAGGAAATTATCAAGAACTTGATCTTTTACATCAAGCACTGACAAAAAAAAAAAAAAATAGGCTTGCACCGTGCGTAAGCAGTAGATCGATTGTAAACGATTTTAGCACCTCTTATGGGTCGGCTTAGCATTTCTTGAGCGATGTTTAACAACGAAATACGTTGTAGGCCAACTTATAAAAGTTTGATAGAAAAATAATGCATCGAGGGAATATAACGAAAATAATAATTTTCAATACATTTGATAATATCACATCGATATATGACATTACAACTTACAGCCATATAACCAAAGTGCATGAAGATGTCATTGAAATCAGCCAAGAAGTAGCTAAGTAGCACGTCTACAAAATTAATAAGCTGAAAATGCTTATATGAGATCAATTTGCGCAAACAAGCTTTCGTAAATAACTATACGGATGGTATAGCGCGGATATCGAATTCAGACATCACTTGAATTTATGATAGCTATATACGCTTAAATACATATATATATATAATCAAATTTGAAAACAATAAACAAGGAGTAATTTGTGTTTACCTGTTGGATTTCTGCTGGGATGTTGTACATTGCTCCATTGCTGCAACAAACGTTGCTTATAAAGTTGAATTCTATCTTGACATTCCTGATGTTCCAAATTATGAGAATCCATTGCTCCGACATCAATCATGTTCCTGAAAATTTAGTGTTATTAAAAGCATCATCTCTCAATAAACCAGAAAATGCGCTTTAAATTACAAGGCTGTATTTTGAACCAAACGGCAGAGAGCGTTTTGATCATCTTTTTTTGGAAGTGAATGTGAATAGTCATTGCTTATGTTATCAGAATTCGTTCTACGTAATGCTGGACTGTGATTAATTGGATCAGCAAGAAGATGTGTTCGTTCACTTGGTTCATAACCCTAGAAAAAGTTACATACAATATATATTAACGTGTTTATTATTATACATTAATGGTTACTTGAGTAGATGGATCTTCAGAGCAATGCAAACAACTACAAAATGTGGTAAAACAATTCCAAATTGGACGTAAATAATCCATATCGTTTAAACAAAGGAGAAATTCGTATAAACAGCTGCACTGTCTACGCCGATAAATTACGCATACAGTTTCAAGCATATCTTATAAACAGAGAGCTGCCAGATTAAGTTATTGTAGTAGTATTGTCATACTACTAGAGTGCAAATTTATCAAATAAGGCCCCTACACACTAATGCATACTTTCGTTTTTCGGATAAATAAGTCCCAAGTAGTAAACAAAGCAAGAAGCTGAATTATCCTATTATTTAATAACAAAATATAAAGAAATTGATATAAAAGTAAACAAGAACATACGGTTTGAGAGGTAAAGCTGAAAAAAATAAAATAAATGTAAACAACAAACATATTAAAAACATAGAATGCAAAAGTAAATTAATTTTTAGACTGATTAATGAAATAAAATATGAAGGAAAATTTCTTTAGAAGAAAGAGCATTGAGGCGAATTTTACTGGTTAAATGTTCTGATTTGGCAACTGTACTGTAAATATCAATTAAATCGCTTTAATTGATGGTTTTTCATACTTTATAGGTTACAAAAAATTGCTGAATGTGTTTAATGTAAACAAGTCTTAACTTAGTATAAAGTAAACATAAATTAGAAAATAATTTTTATGTTGAAAATAAATTATCTTCAGTTCTTTAATGTTTTTCTTCTTTTTGTTTTGATCGCTTACATACTTATGGAACATCATTTGTTAATTTCTACAAAGTCTCGTAGAAAGTTGAAAAACGTTCTATCCCGAAAATAGAAATAATGCGTTATTTTAAGTTCAGCCTCTGTTTTACATTCATAAATACTTCATTGTTCTTCTTGTCAATGCAAATATATTTAGGAAAAAATTCAACTTTTCCCATTTTAATTAGTGTGGTAGTGTAAAATAAATTGTGTCTTTGAGTAATGTAGACACAACAAGTAAATTATATTTTGGCAGTTGGTGCCAGGTGACGAGCATAAGCATTGCACATTCGCGAACAGTTCCTAAAAAAACAGTACTTTTCGTACATTTAATAAATAAACGGTGTACTAATACATACCTCACAAGCTTTGGAGTAAATACTGCTTTTTATGACTTTCCCAATTTTGTTTTTGTTCATAAATGAATAAAGTATAGTTTCCATATAGCCTGCTGTTTTTAAAGAGATTATCAACCTGTTTATTTATTATTTGAGAGTCGAAAGGATCATATCTGTATATAATTTGTATTATCAATTTTTTATATTGCTTGCGGTAACACTGGTTGGTATCACATACATATTTAAATATATATTTAATGTATAATAACAAATTATATGTCAATTATTTATTTTTCCTCAAAGATGAAATCGTTCACTGAAACTATATCGTCTTAACTCAACATCCAAAAAAAAAAGAAGTACATCATTTGCAAATTTTAAAACTGAAAATTGTTTTCTTTAACCATTTCTTTGTTTTGTTAATTATAAATTGTTCGACATGATTTGGCAAATGTAAGTAATTATTGCTTAGCAGATTTAGGCATTGTATTGATGTTTTTCTCTTGTCAAGGTTTTACGTCTTAAATGGGGTGCTTTTGTTGTTTTTCACCTTAATCAGTCTGGTATTATTTGGCCTTCGCAGATGCCTTGAGAACCGTAAAGTGAAATTGGGTGTACGCAATGCGAATATTGTAAATGTGGGCATATTTCATCCATATTGTAATGCCCATGGAGGTGGGGAACGAGTGTTATGGTGTGCTGTCAGAGCATTGCAGGTACAAATAAACTATAATAATACTTCTCTTTGAGTTTTCTAATAACGATCAGAAAATTCCCGTTTTTTTTTTTTGTGGTCAAATGTTAGCAAAATTTGCTATTCACGTATTTTGGAAAACATTAACACTTAAAGTATCTGCGTATATATAAGCGCAAAAATGTAGGCATAAATTTCAAAAAGTATTTACACTTACAAAATATTTGCCTAAATGCAATAAAGTATCTTTGGTCGATGAGATATCATTAATTTAAGGAGAAATTTTATCCTACTGCAAAAAAATAACATCAAATTTGTAATATATGCGAGCAAGCTACTGCTTATCGTTTAAACTTATTTCTTATTAGATTTTCAAATTATATTCGCAAACTCCAACCATATATTCACATAGTTGGTTGCGTTCTAGTCGGCGTTTTTCGTATGATTTGTTGTGTTCTACTTGTCATTTTTAAGATCAAAGTACTCTGTTTTACGCGTTAACATAGTTGGGAGGGTTTGTTGTGTAGGGTTGTGAAAAGTATAAATTAATAAAGGCAAGTTTAAATATAGCTTTTTAAATACGTTTTCTTTTCTTAATGTTTAAAGTAAGTGGTATGTAGGAAAATGAATAGGCGATTGTTTTTATTTGTTTGCAATCGAGTCTGTTCTGGCTTGAGTTAGTAGTCATTAGTCAATAAAATTTAAAAGAGAAAAATTTTGACATTTACAATTTTTGAATAAAAATCTTTTAAATTGCCATTAGAAAATTTTTACCTAAAAGACTTTCAAATTAATTCATATCAATTAATAATAAAAAAAAAACAATTGTAAAATTTGTTAGCAAGGTTACGGATACGTTTTAAACTTGAGAAAGGGCCTGCGGATATCACAAATTCCTGTACGACTGCGTGGATCGGCGCAACAGAACTCAAGAATTGCAAAGATGTGGTGATTTTATCCAGAACATGTCAAAGCCCTAAAGAATAACGAAAAACCCTAAAGCCTTCTGTATCT